GTTTTTATATACGACGATAGTATCGTAAAATGCAAATCAACAGTTTCAATAATAGATGAAAATAGAAAGTAGAGTTTCTATATATAAATGATCAGCTTATTTCATATTTGATATGTATATATAGTACAAAAATGATTTTCATTGCGTATAGAAAAACGTTGATGAAAATTTGTAATTTTCGATAAACGTTTTCTTTCTTCTTTGGTGTGAATTAAAATCATTTTTTTTTATTAGCGATGATGATATCAACGAGGAACTTTGACGGGAACTTTGTTCTGTCAAGATTTTTATTATATTTTTTTTAAATTAATTCTAGGGGTTAATTGCTTATTATTAAAATAAATTTTAGTTAATAAAAAGAAATAACAGGTGACTAAACAACAAGAATAGAGGAAATAATTTTTTAAAACTTTGTGAGAAAGTATAGGAAGCTGTCTTTTGTTCCGTAGCTTTATCATAAATAATGACAAATAAAAATTATTTACTGAGAAAAAGTTTTATTTGAACAAGATAATTTTGTTTCTTCAAGAGCAACGAACCATTTTTTTTCTTATTAAATTTGCTTTTTTTGTTGACTTTTATCTGGATGGCATTTTTTTTCTACTTGTATTTTGGTATTATTTTTAAGAATATACCCAGAGGAAAAATATATTTATCTCGAAGCTGAATAAATATTTTTCTCAAAAATAAATTTTATTTGATTCGAACAAATTTTATTTGTTTCAAATAAGTTTTATTTATTTAAAATGAATTTTTTATTTAAAATGAATATTTTTATTTCAAATGAGTTTTATTTGTTTTAAATATTTTTTTTTTTTTGCAAATGAAATTTATTTTTTAAAATAAAAATTTTATTAGAAGAAAATAAATGTTGCTTGCTTTAAATAAAGTTTATTTGTTTCAAATAAGAAATTTTTTTCTGAGTAAATGAATGTTATTTGTTACAAATAAATTTTATTTATTATTAAATAAATTTTATTTATTCTAAGTAAATTTGATTTATTTGAAATAAATTATATATTTGTTGCAAATAAGATTTATTTGTTTCAATTAAATTCTATTTGTTGCAATTAAATTCTATTTGTCGCAAATAAAATTTATTTATTGCAAATAGAAATTATTTGTTGCAAATAAAATTTATTTATTGCAAATAGAAATTATTTGTTGCAAATAAGATTTATTCGTTTCAATTAAATTCTATTTGTTGCAAATAAGTTTTATTTGCTGCAAATAAAATTTATTTAAAAATAAAAATTTTATTGGGAGCAAGTAAACGTAATTTCTTTTAAATGAGTTTTATTTGTTTCCAGTGAATATTATTTATTGCAAATAAATTTTATTTTTCTTTTAATAATAATTTTATTGGGAACAAATAAAATTTTTTTTGTACCTATTAATATTTTTATTTGTAATAGTTAATATTTTCATTAGTACTAATTAAAATTCTACTTGCAATTTATTATTAATTAATTAACGCAAGTTATTTGAAATAACCAAATAATTTAGTAGGGCTTGAGATAAATATATTTTTATTTAATTAATATTAAATTGTATAGTTGATTTAAAATAAACTATTTTTCTGAATGGTGAAATCAAAGTTTTGGTAATTTTAAAAAATGGCTTTTGTATCAGTAATCAAAATTATTCAACGTTCAAAATATTTTTTTCTCAATTTAAAAATATTTATCATGTAGAGATAACATATTTAATAGAAAATATAACGTAAACAATAAATTTTCCAAATTGAAACAAATTTTAACAATTTTTAGATTAAAAATTTGAGAAATGAAAAGTATTGCGTAATTATTATTGCAGAAAAAATATATTTGTTTAATTTTCATATTCTGTGCTCGATTGAATTCACTCAAATTGCATTGAATTTGATTGTTTTGTTCATTATAATTATTGTTCATTACAATATTTTGTAAAAAGAAGGTTGAGCTCTCGAATTGAAATGGAAATTTAACAAGTTTCACAGCGCTTATATGTATAGATGTAGGGAAAATAGTATGTCACGTTGCATTAAAACGCCTGGATAACAAAATGGTACATAAATGTATAGACTGTGAATCCTTCGTATCTACGTTAGTATTCAGAATGTTTGGCTTATTTCGCATGACTGCTTACCAAAGGAGAGATTTGCTTCCGTTGGATGAGGTTTTTTTTTCTTTTTTATTTATTTTTTTTCCTAGGGATAGCATTTCGGCCGCTCGTATGCTATAATATGTGACGAGAGGGTTGGGTCGATTTTCTCATCAAAATTGGACTCTTCTAACCTTCGCGTGTGTATCATCATGTGTATAGAGAAAAAGGGGGAGAGAGAGAAAGAGAGATAGATCTCTTTGTAGGATTTTGCTGTTGGTAAAATATATCGATTCGATTTTCCGTGGACATGCATCTCGTTTTGTATATAAACAACTTATCAGACTCTGTGTGTATATAACCTTTTTGGCATAAGCGCATTTTAGTTTTTGCATTGCATTTCACGGAAATGCATTTCTTTCGTTTCGGTATTTTGAAAACTGGTTTCATATATACATGGGATTTGGGTGTAATTTTCTTTTTTTTTGAAATGTGATTGGGGATTGAAGTTGCCTTGAATTTTTATTTTCGTTTATATTTCAATATTCTTTTTCTGGTTTTTGTTTATCTGTTTTCTTTTGTATGTTTGTTTCTGCTTTTTGGTTTTTTTTGTACAGTGGAATCTCGATTAACTAAACCTTTGTTATCCGAACTTTCATTATCTGAACTTTTTCATCATCTTATGACCAAAATATCGTTTCTTACATTTACATAGTTTTTCTGCGGATATCAAATTGAGACAAAAAACGAATCAAAATGTTGCTTCGCAACACTTTTGATTCGTTTTTTGTCTCAATTTAATATCCGCAGAAAAACTGTGTAACGATTAAAAAATATCACAAAATAAAGAAATTTTATTGACTATTTTCCAGGACTCGAACTAGATCCGTAAAGTCCGTAATTTGATTGAGAAAAAAAGAAAAGTTAGTAAATTGTACAATAAAAATTTGTGGGATTTTATAAAAATTACAAATAATTGCAAAAATTCAATTATATTCAAAAGTAATAAAATTCTTTGCAGAAATTCAATATTATGTTCAAAAATTTTTTTAAATTCTCGTCAAAATTTCAATTATCTTTAGAAATAATTAAATTCTTTTCCGAAATTCAAATATTTTCAAAATTTTACTCAATTTAATAATTTTTTATTTTTTATTATCTAATTAATATTTTTATAAAATTTTCCAAAAGAATTCAATTATTTTCATAATTAATAAACCTCATTGCAGAATTTCAATTATTTTAATACAATTTTGATCCAATTTTACGAAAAATGTAATTATTCTTAAAAATTTTATTAAAATTCGTCAAAAGAATTCAATTATTTAAAAATTGATTGATAAAATCCTTTATGTGAATTCAATTTCAAGAAACATGCAATTATTCAATAAATTGATTTTTTTGTATTTAAATAATTGAATTCTGGTAGAATTTTCAAATAAAAATTTATTTAAAAATGGTTTTCAGTAAAAATTTTAGATTATAATTGAATATTAAAAGCATTAGAGCTCGAATTTTTTGAAATAATTGAATTTTGAAAGGGTTGGAATTTAAAATTTTTGAAAAACTGAATTTTCATATTTTTAATTAACAATTCTGTGGAATTATTTTTTTGAGAAAGTTTAATTGCGGATTTTTTTTCAATTGTAAATTTTAAACAAATGAATTAGAAAATTTTTAAAGAACTTTTTCAAAAATTATTAAAAATAATGAATTTATTAAAGAATTTTAGTTAAAAACACGAAAAAAAAATTTTATTTTGGAAAAGTAACAAATTATTATAGAAATTCAACTATTTTCAAGAGTTATAATATTCTTCTCAAAAGTTAAATATTGTTAAAAGATAATAAAATTCTTCTTAGGGATTTTATTATTTTCACAAATAATAAAACTCATTGCAGAATTTTAATTATTTTTAATACAATTTTCATCGAATTTCTCGAAAAATCTAATTATTCTTAAAAATTTTATTAAAATTCGTCGAAGAAATTCAATTATTTAAAAATTTGTTAATAAAATTCTTTCCGGGAATTGAATTTTAAAAAAACATTCAATTATTCAATAAATTATCTATGTTTGTATTTAAATAATTGAATTCTCGTAGAATTTTCTAATAAAAATTGATTTAAAAATGAATATCAGTTAAAATGTTAGATAATAATTGAATATTAAAAGCAATATAGCGCGAATTTTTAGAAATATAATTGAATTTTGAAATTAATTTTTTTTTGAAAAAGTTTAATTTATTTTTTTTTATATTATTTGAAATTTTTACTTTCTAATATGCATTTAATTGAAGAATTTAAGAATAATTGAAATATCGTGAATTTGAATATTGTAAATAAATGGATTTGAAAATTATTTTCATAAATAATAAAATTTTCGCAGGAATTTAATTATTTTCAAACACAATATTCATAAAATTTTTCGAAAAAAATCAATTATTTAAAATGATTTTTATAAAATTCTTCGCTAGAATTCAATTATTATTTTTAAAAAAATTAATAAAGTTCTTCGTAAGAATTCAATTATTTTTGAAAATTTTAATAAAATTTGTTGCAAGAATTCAATTATTTTAAAAAATAATTGAATTCTGAAATGGTTTCAAATTAAAATGTTTGAAAATTAAAATTTTCATTAACAATTCTGTGAAATTAAGTTTTTTAAAAAGGTTTAATTGCATTTTTTTGAAGTTGTTAATTACTAATATTTATTTAATTGAAGAATTTTCGAATAATTGAAATTTTATAAAATTAAATTGTAAAAAAAAGGATTTGAAAATTGTCAAAGAACTTTTTTGAAAATTATTAAAAATAACATGAAATAATGATTTTATTAATTTGACATCTTTAATTATTATAAAACATAAAGAAAGCGATTACTCCGAGTCGAATCACTCCGAACTCGGAGTTATCGATATCTTCATGTTTTATAGTTATGAAAAATTTAATTTATAGTTTTAAGCAAAATGTTCGTTTATTTGATTCGGACTGGTTATATTTTTGACAGTAATTGGTCCGTAATTTTTCATTGTTGATTTGTAAAGTCTGCATTTTTAAATACTTTCTCTGGTTACATAATCGACTGTCAGGTCCGACCCAAATACTTTCTAAATTTGAATTAGTTAAAAATAACTAGCATTAGAAAAATCATGGATGACTTTTTGCAATTACTGTTTGAATCAGTGACTGACTTTTTGCTATCAAATTAGTTATTTTTAACTAATTGAAATTTAGAGAGTAGGATAATCCAAGTTCCACTGTATTAATTTTTGCCTTGTCAGAGAAATTCGCTCCTCCTATCGCTGATCATTGAGAAATTAATTCGGTTAAAAGAAATGTTTAAAAAAAATAAAAGACGAATTGAAAATTATAACGGATGTAATGCCGAAGTTCACTGAACACTGGCAACGGAAGAAGTTCTCGGAGTTCTGGGATTACTCAGTAATCTCGAGGAGTCGTCATCGTCTCTTCTAGACGATACTCCACTTGTTATGGTTGTCGTCGTTGTCGATAGATCAGTCGCAGTGCAAGAAGTTTGGGAAATTGGCGACAAAATTGGAGGCACACGCCACCAATCGGGTGTCGTCCAATTGGTAATGAGGTTCCCCCGAAAATTCAGATCCGGGAGAACCGGAAGCGGTCTTCATATAACATGACCCCTCGTCGATGTATTCCCCGTGAGACTTTGCACTGAGAAAACACTACTGCTCTCGGTTTTTGTCGTCGACGGTAGGGAGCTAAGAACAGTGGAGATATTGCGAAATTTTTCGAATCTCTCCACTGGCGGCGGCGGAGGTGGTGGCGATGATGAATAACGATCATCGGATTTGTCCTCTTCTTGAGGCTTATCTGATGATGTGAAATTGTCCTCAATTTTTCTGTAGCAACCTTCTTCTCTGACACTGTCCCTATTGTCGAGACTGAAACGATCGTCGTCTGGTTTGACGGGACTTGGGAAAGGTTTATCCTCGGGCTTCTCGGGGAGGAATGTTCTCTTTGGCTCTTTCGATGGACTTGGACAGCCGCAATTTGGTTGAAGACAAGTTGGTGTCGTGATACCGGGCCATGTGACTGATTGATGTCCGGAGTAGAATGTACCACCTGATCCGTAAATTGCTTGGAAGGCTAAATCAGCGGCGAGCTTACCGCCGCTGAAGTCCTCGCCTAATTTGTGTTGAATTGGATAGAGAGGATAGGGAAAGTGGGGGAAAAATCGGGGAATTTTGAGATCGTCGTGAGCAATTAGAGAATGATTCATTGGCGATGCTAGAGGTGGTATTAAACCACGTGAAATTGAACTGAGAGATTCGGTTGGTGACATTGTCAATGGTGAGAGGGAAAAGCCAAATTTATTTTCCTTCTTGACGAGTGATTTTGGCTTTCGACGTGGACGGTATTTGTAATCTGGGTGCTCCTTCATGTGTAGTGCCCTGGAACAAAAAGCAGAGAGTCGTGTTTTAGGGTCAAGTCGATTTAGTCTTGTTGTTGTTGCTCATTGTTATTGTTGTAAAGTCCAACAACTGTTGGCGAGTAACTTTAGGGACTAGATTAATTGAATAGAGAAAGGAAAAGTCAAAAGCTTTTGTTGCTTGTCACTTGGAATGGGGTTTCGGAAAACTTGTGTGTGCGTTATACAATGCACTCAGTGGAAAAGAGAAAGGGGTGGATCGGGAAAAAAAAATTGTTTAATTAGAAAGAAAAATTTCTCAAAGTGATTATAGTACAAAGTGATGTAGAAGTATATAGGAGGGAAGAAGATATGTCTCTCTGATAGAAATTGTTATTTCAGTAAAAATCATCTTTATTAAATTTTATCCACTTTATTGTGTAACTTCCTCTTTCTCATTATCGGACATAACTTATTTACTCTCCACTTATGTCTATATTTGCTCTATATTTTTAAACCGTATTTTTCAAGTACTTTATGAAGTATCAATTGTTTCCTTGCTTGAAAGAAAGTTAACTGTATATATGCAGGCCTTGGATCGACTTTAAGGAGAAAAAAAGGCGATTAAAGATGCAAAAAAAGATTGAAAATGTCGTTTATTTTATTCAGTGCTGTTGCAAAAATTTAATTTTCTACTTCCCTGACCTCTCTAAATTAAATTATTCAAAACATTAATTTTGATAAATAAATATTTAAATTTTAAATAAATAGGTACTTGTTCTATATTTTTTCACAAGAATTAAAATTATTCAATTTTCCGAAATAAAAATTCTTTAAGGATTTAATTATTTAAAACAGAAAAATTCAATACGAACATGCCCAAAATTAAAATAATTTTACAAAATGTTTTCGGACATTTATATTTATTTGCCATCACTATATATGTTTCTTGATATGAATTTTGTTATGGGCATGTAGTTTGAAATTCAATTGACATTTGTCGTGGGCGACTTTTATTTTCTGTAAATTTCACTATCTTACGGAAAGGACCAGTCGAATAGCTTTGTTTCCTTTGTTTTGCTTTCATACAAATCCATGAAATCCGTATGATAAGGGACTTTAGATAAAAGACACCAGGTGATGTTCTGGGAACAGTGTGTGTATGTGAGTGTAATCTTTGAAAGGCTGCGTTGTAAACTTCTGTTTTAAAAGATATGCCCAGAGTAATAAAACATGATAAAATTTCTATTCTCTCTGAAATTCAAATTTTCTTTGTTTTCAAGGTACAGGATAAGTAAAATTTCATGGTGGGACAAATTTATTTTTCTTAAATAATTATTAGGATCAAAATAAATTTATTCTCTTTTCCACGTTGAATTAAAAAGATAAATTTTGGGATAGAAATCCTTTATGCTATCTTAGGTAAACTCTATCTTACAGGGAAAACCCAATAAAGTAACTTTTACTATACTTTTACAGTAAAACCTAATCTATCTGAAACTTCTGCGCATTTCTGGCAACTTTTACAATTTTCAAAGTTAATTTTGCTACATTCGAAGTAAATTTTAATAATTTTTTCAATAAATATACTTCAAACGTAGTAACATTCACTTCAAAAATAGTAAAAATTGCTAAAAATGCGCAGAAGTTCCAGACAATTTGGGTTTTAAAATTGTAAAATTGGGTTTTATAGTAAAAGTTACTCTATATTTTTCTCCATGTGGTCCATTCAAAAATGAAAATTTTTTTCTAATTCGATTTATAATTCGGAAAGTGTACAAAAATTGTTTTGTCGAGTGAAAGATTTTATATTTCAATTGTGTTTAAAAGCACAGTTTTCTTGAAAGTTTCAAATTGATACTCAAGTAGATCAAAGTAATAACAAAAATATTGATCAAATTATGATTTAATCCGCATTTTTGGTTGCCACCTAATAAATTTCTTGGCAAAGTTTCAAATATCTTCAAAAATTTTCCTCAATTCAATGATTTGCAATATTTACTATTTTAATAAAATTTTCCAAAAGAATTCAATTATTTTTCATAAATAATAAATTTTTGTACAGGGATTCAAAATTTCAAATTTCAATTTTTTTAAATCGAATTCTTAGACAAATGTAATTATTTAAAAAAATGTTATTAAAATTTGTCGAAAGAATTTAATTATTATTGAAATATATGTTTTTTCAATTCTTTATGGGAATTCAATTTTGGGAAACATTTAATTATTCAATAAATTATTTATGTTTGTATTGAAATAATTTAATTATCGTAGAATTTTCTAATAAAAATTGATTTAAAAATGAATTTTAGATAATAATTGAATATTGAAAGCATTATAGCGTTAATTTTTTGAAATAATTAAATTTTAAAAATATGAATTTCTATTTTCTAAAATATATTTAATTAAAGAATTTCCGAATAATCGAAATTTCGTAAAATTTAATTTTTAAAATTGATTTAAATATTCTCGAAGAATTTTTTCCAAAATCATTAAAAATAATTGTTTTAAAAAATAATTTTAATTAAAGATCTCGTGATTTGATTCATTGAAATTTCACTGAAGGGTCAATTAAAAAATTACTGAAAATTTCAGTCACAAATGTTGATTATTTGCATAAATTGTTATTTAAATTATTTTCAGGAATTCAATTATTTTGAAAAATTTTAATAAAATTCTTCAAACAGTTTTTAATTATTTTGAAAAATTATTATTACAATTTTTGATATTAATTTAATATTAAAAGCATTATGGAATGGATTTTTAGAAATTTTGAAAAGGTTTGAAATTCAAATCTTTGAAAATCGGAATTTCTCGTACTTTTAACTAACAATTTTGTAGAATTAATTTTTATAATCTCATTTTGAAAAAGTTTAATTGAATTTTTTTGTTAAATTATTTAAGTTTTTAATTTCTAATATATATTTAACTGAAGAATTTTCAAATAATCGAAATTTCATAAAATTGAATTGTGAACAGATGGATTTGAAAATTATCAAAGAACTTTTTCAAAAATTATTAAAAATAATTGATTTAAAGAAGAATTTTTGTTAAAAATTCTAGAAAATAATAATTGAATAATTTAAATGATGAAAATAATTTCGAAGAAGTTAAAGTAACAATATTTTTATGTAAAATAATAATTTTATTTTTAATCCGAGTCGAAGACTCGGAGTGATCGGTATCTTCATGTTTTATAATAATATTCTTATATGTTATTGAATTTCAAAAAGGTTTGAATTTGAATGTTTTGGAAATTTTGATTCTTTGGAAAAATAATAATGATTAAATATTTATTCACAAAAGAAGTTATTGATGTTTTCGATTAATTTTACAATTAAAGAAATTAGTAAATAAATTAAATAGAAATTTTTTTTGAGTATTTACAGGTATTTAATAATTTTTAGAGTGAATCAGAATATTCTTTAGGGTCAGGAGAAAAGTGAAAATTTTATCTGGAAATCAGGGAAATACTAAACTAAATGTTTGTTGCATTCCTGTTTGTAGTAAAAATTTGTGTCTAATTAGTAAATTTAAAAAAAAATCTAATCGATATTATTTATTTTAGTTTACTCTTTCTTCTTTTTATTTTTCGCCATGGCGAGGTTGCGGCTGGTTTTTGGCTTTTAAAATGAAGTTATGAAATTAATGCGTTAAAATCAGTACAATGCGACTTACTATCGTTCTGGAGGTTCTTAAAAAGATATGAGTTACCATGGGTATTTGTAGTAAATATCTTGTACATACAAGGAGGTCGGAGGGGGCGCGAGCATGATATCTCCGTCACATAATGCTCCATTATGTACCCAGCACCGCACAAACGTAGCCCTTATTTATGCTTCGCTTCGCGGAGATAAAAGAAAAAGAAACATTCTTAGAGCTTTCGCGCATTCCGTATTGCCAAGAACGCTCATGAAAAAGAAAAAAAAATGAGACGCGCCCGTTTTGTCACGTATGAAACAGGATTCTCGCGCATGGAATACTTTTTTATCGACACCCTGCAGAATAAAAGTCCAACTTGAATTCAACTCCTCTTTTTACAAAGATCCTTCTTTTCAAAAAAAGCGAAAGAATAAATAAAATTCGTCATTTTTCATCTATATATAGAAAAGGAATTATCAAAGTAATTGTTACTTTACGGAAAACTGGTATATTTTTGAAAATATCTTAAATGAATACTTCAGGGTTATTGTCACGCAACCTGGAAAACCTGCGGAAATGTCAGGGAATTTTTTAAACATTGAAAAAATCTGGAAAAGTCAGGGAATTTTGATCGGAATTCTGGAAAATTGTTGTTTTCTAAAGTTATTGGATTTTTTTTTGTATTGGAAAAATATTCAATTTCTGGAATTTATAAGAAAATTATGAATTTTTGTGTCTATAAACTATGAAATTACCACAAATATTAATACAAAAGCTTCAATTTTTTTTTACTTCTGACAATCATTTCTTTTCAAATAACTTAATTCTTGAAGAAACTATCATATTTTATTATCTCTTTATTTTTAAACTTTTTTTAATAATTTTTATTTTTAAATAATTTTAATTTTAAAATTAATGTATTGAAAATCATCAAATTGTTGCAAAAAATTTTATCAAAAAATTTGATAATAATAGAATTCCTTTAAAGAAATTTATTATTTAGTAAAATAATTGAATTCTCGTGTAGAATTTTGTTAAAATTTATGAAAATTCGAATTAAATTCTTTTTCAAGGATTTCTTATAATTTTTTTTTAAATAATAATGGAATTTCTTTATAATTTTAGTTAAAAATTTTGAAAATAATTGAATTTTATGAACAATTTCTTTCAAGTCTTAAAAATAATCGTGTTTGTTAATAATTTAAATTGAACATTTAAATATTGAATTTTATTAAAATTTTTGAAAGTATAATTTAATTCTTTTGAAAAATTTTATAAGAATGAAGAAAAAAATTGATTTTTTTTGTGAAATTTTGTATAGAAAACAAGTAAGTTTTTGCAAAGAAGTTTACTATTTATAAAAATAATTGAATTGTTTCGAAGTATTTATTAAAATTTTAG